CGAACGTTCTCCACACCGCTTTCAGCCGCAACAACCTTCCCTCCTTTTTGTCATGATCCATGTTAATAAAACTGTCCGTGACAAATGGACGCTGACATCACTACATTACGCACCATCACAATCTACTGTCTATATAAACCTGTCTGAAACATGAGGCTGACTCAGATTTTGGCCTTTGTCTGTTATAAATCGTTATGACATCATAGAGAATCAGAGCACATTTTGAACGGGCTGAAACAGAGGGGGATTATTGGTGATGGCCTACAATTTATCGTTGGTATTTCGAGCCAACACCACCTCCGAGACATGTTTTTATATGCATATCAGAGAACCTTATAATTAAGTAATGAAAAACAGTATACAAGGGGACCTTTAAGCTGTAAGCCCCACGACCCGGCAGAAAAACGCCAACATCGCCAAGCAGGAAAACAGTGTCTGAGGCTTCTTAACACAGTGTTTCCCCTAATATACAAATAGTGGCGCGCGCAACGGGGCGCGCAGCCCCAGGTGCCCCAAAACATATTTTTTTTCTTTTTTCTTCTTCTTTTCAGTTTGAAAATAATAATAAAAGTGCGACCCTTTTTCATTTTTGATTGTTTGTTATGTGGATTTGTGTTACTGTATGTTCAATAAAAGGTGTATTTTTGCGAAATCTTGAGACATTGCCACTGTATGTACTGGCAGGGCCTATTTTTGGCATAGGCGCAGGCAGTCGCCTAGGGCGCCAGATCTGGGGGGCACTGCGCTTGTAGCTCTGGGAGGGAAAAAACATTTTTGACCGTTGGCACTCATCCTAATTTTTGGCCTTGATGTAACAACATTCATAATTAAGTAAATGTAACACCCTTTTCACCCCGGTTACACTTTTCATTAACCCTGTACGATGGGCACTGTAAGTGATGTAAGTGGGGGATGTTGGCTTATCAGGCGCCCGCAGTTCACAGCCAAAGTGCGAGCGTGGGAGCGAGAGAGGGAGAGAGAGGGCGCACCGGTACCGGCGCTGTTGTTATTAGGATCTGGTGCTAGCTGCGCTAACGGATATAAGAAGTACATGTTTCTACAACCAGGGTGGAGGAGAGCTCTCCTGTCAGACTGAGAGGCTCAGTGAGGTAAAGGACATCTCTGAGTGTTTAGATAGTTAATTTTAGTCTAAGTTATCTCAGTGGGTAAACATTTTGACTACAAATTATGTAAACACATATTTCCAAGGCACTCCTTTATAATTATTAGGATAAATAAAAACAGGTTTGAAATCATTCCAATGTATACTATAGGCAGGGGTGCACATAACTGGTACACAGGTACCTATGCGCTGCAACAATCTGAAATGCGTACCGTCACTTGTGTCACAAAGCGCATTTGCGTACCGACATACTTGTGAAGCTTTTCCAGAAGGCGGTTAGATGACGGGAGACTCCCCCCCCTTCACTGGAGAACTGCGCTAAAACAGCTGATGACACTTCACGCTCTGTGGTCACGCATTACTCCTCTAGCCCCCCCGTCGACTTTCCTGAAGTACTTTACTAGCACCCCCACCCCCAATCATCAAAATCGACCGATGGGTTCCAGAGATATGGCAAATCCACCCAAATGACCCCAGAACTGTTTTTGCTAAACCTCTCTAAAAAAGGTAAAATGTTACTTGTTTTGCATCAATCTTGATACAGGGTACTTATATGTTATAGTTTGGATTCGTAAAGGATGGACACTATAATTTATATTTGTTTTACTATGTTCAATCTGAATTGATCGTTAAAATAAAAAAAATGCTATATTGATTCTGATTTTTCTACATCCAACTCACAGGTTTATTATTGCTTTGAGAAAAAACATTATCCATTTACCCCTTTTAGAAGTGAAAATATAGTCATTTGTTCTGGGAATATAATTTTCGAGCCTGAGACTTGGAAAACAGGCTCAGGGCTAAACAGGTTAAAGTGAAAAATATGTAATCAATAGAAATAAAAAAAAAACACAACAAAATTGAACAATTTAAGTAAAAATGTACATCACAGTTGCGCATAACCACAGCTAAACTAAAGGCGGCATATTTTCAGCGTGATGACCTTAAATAGCCTCATTCAGATTAATTACTGATTCTATTTTGTAGAACAAACAAAAAGCTTGTGTTCACCTCAACACTTATTTCACACATTTGAACAAAAACACATTTAAAAAAAAACTTCAAGGCCACGGAACTGGAAGTGCTTCGAGGCCAACTCAAATAATTTTAAAGTAATGGCGTATATAAAAACTTAAAGGAAGTGACTCACCTGTAGTGTTCCGATGGGAGTGAGGCTGAGACTGGTTGGCTAGGGGGGGAAGTGAGGGAGTGGTGTCACTCTGAGGCGAAGCGTAACTCCGGAGGGGGGGGCTTGATGGTGACTGGCTGCGAGGTGCGGCGGGGGGGCGAGGGCTTGGGCTGGGCATGCTGCTGCATGGTGTCGTAGTACGTCACACCGCCGTACACCTGGGCCTGACCGCGAGGGACACCACACTTTATTATCACCAGCCAACAGAACCAAACATTTACACAACTATATACTGAAATGAGACGTGCCAAAAAAACATCACCGGAAAATTTATTATTTTTTAAGAATTTGATTATTCAAGTGAAACTTACTTTAAGTACATTTATTTTCTCTAAAAGCATGTGGATAATCAATCAATACATTTTTATTTATATAGCCAAATGTCAAATGTTACATTTGTCTCAGTGGACTTCACAGTTTGTACGGAATATCAGTATGGCAATACGACTCTCCTTGGACCCTCACATCGTACAAGGAAAAATGCTACTGCTAGACAATAAGTGACAAACCAAGTGATGTCAAATATTTGTGTTATACATACAACAAATACTACTTTTACATGTTATGTTGGGTATCTTTTTTATTTTGCAAATGGCTAGTTTGAGAGATATAAAAATCAGCAAGTCAAAGCTGCTTATTTATCTAACAGGCAGCAACAACTTGAACCATATAAGTACAACTGCTGCCATTTCTAGGTTTTTCTAAAAGTCATTTTTTTATAAAAAAGACACATTATTGTTGGTTTGTATCTTATGGTCAAATATTTTCACATCAGATGTATAGTATCACGTGTATTATTGGACCCGTGCAAATTAATAAACCCATTGAATGAGGTAACATTCCAATGAGGTATGTTTTTTGATTTATGTGTCAGTTTTATAGTTTAGTATATATAAAAAAAACGTGTACCCTATTTGTGCAAAAAAGAAAGGAAATATTTTCCACAAAAGGTTATTATTTAAACACACAGATACGTCATGAAAAGTTTTTATGATTATCTTCGTTAATATCTGGATATTTATAAACTCTACTGTGTTGCACCTAATATTATTGTTGTAATTTGTATTTTTACTTTGATTATTTTTTCTAATTATCCTTGTGTGAACTCTTACCTGCCCTCTCCTGATTTCTACTCTTATTGATGCTCTGACACGTGAATATCTTTGATTAATAAAGCTTTATTTATCTTATAATGATGAGGTTTAAATGATCAGTTCCTACCTGTTGAGTCGGGTACATGGTGGGGTACGGGAAGGTCATGACCCCCGGCGGTGGGTAAAATGGCGGAGGCAGCAGCTGCTGAGGTTGCCCTGGCGGCGGAGGCAGAGAAACTGGTGGGCCTCCATAGAGGGCGGGGTTAGCAATCGGGCCGCCTGATTGGTGTGGATGGAGACCTGAGAAGATGGAGGAGGAGATGAGTGACAGGAAGCTGCAAGTTCTTTGTCTTTAAAACTGCAGAGGGCAACAGACTGACCGGGGTGGGGCATGTGCATCTCAGGCTGGACCAGCATGCTCTGCGGCGGGATGGGGGCGGGGCCATCCCCATGGGCATATATTGGTCCCTGGTACGACACTGAGAGACAGGCGGAGAGAGGTTATTAACCATAAATCAAACATTTACTCAAGTACTGTACTCCTTTTTGTTCCTATTTCTACTTTCAAACCACAATACACACTAGCTTATAAAACACCATACACTCAAAAAGAATGTTACCACAGTATTGAATATGTTTACATGCACAAGGCTTACATTTTACAAGGGAAATTAAACTAAATATTACACTTTAAAATTATTTAAATAAATCCCTGCATACTCAAACTATTTACAAAAACTATTATATAGTTTGATATCCCAAAAACTGTTGATATCTACGTCTTTGATAATTTTTTTAAACAAGAAAAACTGGCTTTCTTGTTTTGCACATTAACTTCCAGCTGGAGTCAGTGATTGCAGAAATAGTTTATTTGCAAAAAATAAAAACTTAAAAAACTTAAATGTTCCTGTTCTTGTGAGGCTAAGGAAGAGCCAAAATAATACACATTTAAACAAGCCAGTTTTCATTCGTAATCATATCTATTGGTCCTCTGTGTAGGTACTCATAAATATCGACAGAAACGTGTCTTTTCCCGAGTGAACTACACTCACTGGTCAGCAGGACGTTTCGGCTGGATTAAAAATGTAAAAAAAAAAAATCTTCAAACCAGTGCTGCGACACTCTTATTAATAAATCTCTTTATAAACAAATGTGTAAACATCAGACATTTGTTTATGCTTGATCTTTGATGCTCTCTGCTGGTGAGCAGGAGGAAGTGCGTCATTGACTGAATAAGGTTGAGTTATTTTCCACCACTTTAACGTCTTACTGGGTTCATAGTAGTGTCCCTCCCTCACGCCCAGGTGCATGGGCGGTGCCGGCTCCGGCACGGTCCTCTGACGTTGGGACGAGTATCGCTTGGCCCTGTTTGAGCCAACACCGATCTCCTCGATGTTGGAGAACTGAGGCGGGCTGCCCGGGACGTGCATGGTGGGGAGGCCTGTGAACAGGAAACAGTATTTTAGTTCATATATTAAGTCTTCATTTTTTTCTGGGACTCTATTGAAACATTTGTGAAAGCTGGATATTGGTGTGGTGATGAAACAGCGTTGGATCATGGGAGTTTTAGTCAGTTTCTCATGGTTAAGATTTCTTCAGTGTCCCCTCTCATCTGAAAAAGTGCTAGTTGAGTTTCTTTCTGCACGCTGTTCGGCTGCCGCTAACATTTTCTCATATTGTTTCTCTGATAACTCAATATTCAAGCACCAAAATATATCATCAGTTTAATGTATAGAGTAAAAAGATCTAGAACATAAAACATGGTTCCTCCAAGCCCCTCAAAGTGTTTGTATACATACTAGGGTTGTACCCGAATATCTGAATATTCGCTCGTTGGAGTACTATTCGGATACTTTCTCCGTCTTTATATGTAGATATTACTTTTTCTCCATTAATCTCTGTCACGTTGTTTCCATAGCAACAACAACTTCCTGTCAACTGCGCCAACTCTGCGCCAACTCTTAAAGACGTATACAACTGCAACGAAAATAACACACAATGCAATATCCTTTTCAATTTCAAAGAACACAAATTGGGTTGTATACACTAACAAATAACTATAAAACAACAATACTGTAGAACAGGGGTGGGGAACCTTTTTCCTCTCAAGGGCAATTTCAATTTTTTCAACATCCTCCGAGGGCCGTACAAATTATTGACCTCTGCTTAAAAATACTAAAATCACAGCCCATTCATTTCGCCTTTCTTTCATGCTGTGCAAAGAAAAAGCAACTTCTTAATCCAGATATTTTACCATGACTAGCGCATGCACGTGCACGGTTGTGGCATGACCACCAAAACAGAAAGATATGGACACAAGATGTGTGCAATTTAGTTTCCTATCCATGTGAATATGATTTAAGTGTGGGGGGGGGCATGTTCCCCCAGGAAGATTTTTATTTTTTTTAATGTTGAAGTTAAAGCATCAATCTGGTGCACTTTGAGAGCAACATTAAGAGATCTATGGATACATCTCTCAACACACTTATGAAACAGAACAGTAAGCAGATTTTATTTTTCTTTATGGATATTTTACAAATCACTCCCCTTTCAAACTGTATTCTTGTTTATTAATAACAACTGTTTTTTACTGTCATATAGTATTTTATACATGTTTACTTTATTCTCTTATTTTTTATAACTATAATGATCATATAAAGATGTGCCTTTACCTCACTGGTTGGAGAAAAAGCTTCTTACATTCGTTAGCATAGCTAGCTAACCAGATGCTAATAACAACAAATTTATTGATTGTATGATCAGTATGTCAGATGAACAAATTACCACTGGGCTTTCAACTAAAGACGCAGCCACGCAAAAAACTGCGGCATATGTACGGCTCCTTATGGGTACTGACATTTTTGAAGTTCTGGTGCTCTCCGGCAGCTCTAAACCCCTGTCGGACGAGACATATACCACGTGATAACGCGTTAGGCTCGTGTTGTGTTCAAGGACCCTGACCTTGGCCTGGAAAAACAGGCACTCGCTTGTTTAATTATTTTGCGGTCTAGATTTCTTAATTTTTTTATTTTTTGCGTGAGTTACCTCGAGGGCCGTATCAAATTGTCTCGCGGGCCGTATACGGCCCGGTGGCCGGAGGTTCCCCACCCCTGCTGTAGAATAACAAAAAGAATGCCGTGAATAAACCGAAATACACGTGTCGAAGCGGTTTGCTGCTGATTACTACGCAAGTCAATTTCTGACAGCTTCTGGCAGACGAGACTGACACTGCTCAAAGAGGAACGATGCCATACCAGGTAAACAGATGAAACGCACATTTCCCTGAGACCTTAAAAATAAAACATGAAGGGGATAATCAAAGCACACCACTCACCCCTCATTTCGGAGCGGAAGTACGACGTTGGGTTGGGGCTCCAGCTCTGTCCTACCAGACTGAGCCGAGCCAATTCCTGTACCTGCTCCCCCAGCCCGCCACCTCCTCCCGCCTGACTCGGCCCGTTGCCTTCCCCCGACCAACTCTTCACCCCCACGTCTCCGGGGGAGGAGGAGTTCCCTCCGGCAGCAGAATCCTCCACAGACGGCTGTTTACTGCCCAGGTCGGAGGGCCGAGAGCGAGTCTTGCGGGCCGCCGAGTAAGATTTACGTTCCACCGGCCGCTCTGCAGGGGGGGAGGCTTCCCGATTGGTCTGTGCCGAATGTTGGGGGGGGTCGGAGGAAGAGGAAGACATGTCGCCACTCCCTCGTTGTTCCTGCTGCTGTCGTCTCAGAGACGCAGACGGGTAACCACCCTGCTGTGACGTCGTTACAACCCCGGGGTCCGCTTCCTTAGAGCCTCCTTGGCTGAATGTAATGTCCTCAACTAGCACAGAGGGCGCTCTCCCACCACCACGTCCCCCCCTGCTGACCACTCCCCTGTCTCCTGTAGGCTCACACTGAGCTTTAGGGCCCGGTCGTTCTCTGGGGTACATCTGATTTGCGTTTAATTCATTATTCCTGTACTGGGACTGAGGCGGATGCTGCATGTGATTCTGCTGGGGGTGGGATGGTCTGCTGCGGGGGGTAGGCTGTCTCGAGGCGTTGCTGCTCCGCTGATTGGAAGTGAGGGGAAGATTGGAAGAGGATGTGGAGGAGGGTGGAGCTCCTCCTCGGCCTCCTCCTCCGCTGTGCCAGGATCGGACGGGTCGCTCTCCTCCGTCCCCCCAGCGCTTGTCTCTGCCTGGAGACAAACTCTGTCTGCAAGGAAACATTAGAGAGAATCCACAGTAGATTTTAGAAAAAGGAAACGGATACAAAGTATTTGGTTGAGGTCGAATAGTCTATTTTACTGAGGAAGGTTATTATCCGAGCAAAATTACCCAGAAGTAACTTAGGGCAGGTCGGGATTTCTTTGACTATTCAACCACAACTAGTTTCTCTTTCTTTAAAGAAAAGAATGATTAATTTGTTTTATTTTACATTGATTATCTGTTATTTAGACCCTCCAGAAAAACGTGATTCTGCGATCGCAGAATTTACCGCATAATCAGCAAAATGGCGCAGATTTTTAAAAGGCCGCATAATCCCCGCTCTTTTCCACACAAAGTTGAGAAAAAAAGTTAACTCGTACGTGAAGTACTGATGATGATGACGCAACGTCATCACCTCGCGCATCACAGAAGGTAAACAACACCGTAGAGTGAACGTGTGGAACTCACACGAGAGAGAAAACACCAAGATGAAAAAATCTGATCCATCTAATTTACCGACAAACTTTTCTGCTAAAGACCGGGCAAAGCAGTACCCCAATGTCTTGCACGAAAGTGGGGGGAAACTATTCTGCACCCCGTGCAACTGTGTGTTGGAGCATAAGTCTAGAGAAAATCGACGGTGACGACCCACTTTGATTCATTCAAACATTCGAAAATGCTTTCTGCTGCTGCGGACAGGAAAGCCAAACAACTCACGTTCACTGAGGCATCAACCTCCAAAACCCTTTCGAGGGCTACAAGAAACGAAGTGAGTAGCCTACAAGATTGAAGCTGGTCAGATAACGAACGAGTAAATGAAAACAGAATGAGGTGTGTGTGTGTGTGTGTGTGTGTGAGAGTGTGATTAAAATAGCCCAATTGCTTTTACAATAAATAAACATTGAATGTGTTTAATTGAGTAGGAAAGGGGTTTAACGTTAGTGGCAGGTTGTGTGTGAGAGAGAATAAATAAGACAGCCCAAAATTTAAAAATAAATCTATTATTTTTCGCAA